CCCTAGGTATCTTTAAAATGCTTATGAATGTAAAATTTCAATTTCGTAATTTCATAATTTGTTCCTAATAAGAAACCCTAGGTATCTCTAAAATGCTTATGAATGTAAAATTTAAATTTCATAATTTCATAATTTGTTCCTTATAAGAAACCTTAGGTATCTCTAAAATGCTTATGAATGTAAAATTTAAATTTCATAATTTCATAATTTGTTTCTAATAAGAAACCCTAGGTATCTCTAAAATGCTTATGAATGTAAAATTTCGATTTCATAATTTCATTTGTTCCTATAAGAAACCCTAGGTATCTCTAAAATGCTTATGAATGTAAAATTTCAATTTCATAATTTGTTCCTAATAAGAAACCCTAGGTATCTTTAAAATGCTTATGAATGTAAAATTTCAATTTCGTAATTTCATAATTTGTTCCTAATAAAAAACCTTAGGTATCTTTAAAATGCTTATGAATGTAAAATTTCAATTTCATAATTTCATAATTTGTTCCTAATAAGAAACCCTAGGTATCTCTAAAATGCTTATCAATGTAAAATTTCAATTTCATAATTTCATAATTTGTTCCTAATAAGAAACCCTAGGTATCTCTAAAATGCTTATCAATGTAAAATTTCAATTTCATAATTTCATAATTTGTTCCTAATAAGAAACCCTAGGTATCTCTAAAATGCTTATGAATGTAAAATTTCAATTTCGTAATTTCATAATTTGTTCCTAATAAGAAACCCTAGGTATCTCTAAAATGCTTATGAATGTAAAATTTCAATTTCATAATTTCATAATTTGTTCCTAATAAGAAACCCTAGGTATCTCTAAAATGCTTATGAATGTAAAATTTCAATTTCATAATTTCATAATTTGTTCCTAATAAGAAACCCTAGGTATCTCTAAAATGCTTATGAATGTAAAATTTCAATTTCATAATTTCATAATTTGTTCCTAATAAGAAACCCTAGGTATCTCTAAAATGCTTATAACTGTAAAATTTCAATTTCATAATTTCATAATTTGTTCCTAATAAGAAACCCTAGGTATCTCTAAAATGCTTATCAATGTAAAATTTCAATTTCATAATTTGTTCCTAATAAGAAACCCTAGGTATCTCTAAAATGCTTATGAATGTAAAATTTCAATTTAATAATTTCATAATTTGTTCCTAATAAGAAACCCTAGGTATCTCTAAAATGCTTATGAATGTACAATTTCAATTTCATAATTTCATAATTTGTTCCTAATAAGAAACCCTAGGTATCTCTAAAATGCTTATGAATGTAAAATTTAAATTTCATAATTTCATAATTTGTTCCTAATAAGAAACCCTAGGTATCTTTAAAATGCTTATGAATGTAAAATTTCAATTTCGTAATTTCATAATTTGTTCCTAATAAGAAACCCTAGGTATCTCTAAAATGCTTATGAATGTAAAATTTAAATTTCATAATTTCATAATTTGTTCCTAATAAGAAACCCTAGGTATCTCTAAAATGCTTATAAATGTAAAATTTCAATTTCATAATTTGTTCCTAATAAGAAACCCTAGGTATCTTTAAAATGCTTATGAATGTAAAATTTCAATTTCGTAATTTCATAATTTGTTCCTAATAAGAAACCCTAGGTATCTCTAAAATGCTTATGAATGTAAAATTTAAATTTCATAATTTCATAATTTGTTCCTAATAAGAAACCTTAGGTATCTCTAAAATGCTTATGAATGTAAAATTTAAATTTCATAATTTCATAATTTGTTTCTAATAAGAAACCCTAGGTATCTCTAAAATGCTTATGAATGTAAAATTTCAATTTCGTAATTTCATAATTTGTTCCTAATAAGAAACCCTAGGTATCTCTAAAATGCTTATGAATGTAAAATTTAAATTTCATAATTTGTTCCTAATAAGAAACCCTAGGTATCTTTAAAATGCTTATGAATGTAAAATTTCGATTTCATAATTTCATAATTTGTTCCTATAAAAAACCCTAGGTATCTCTAAAATGCTTATGAATGTAAAATTTCAATTTCATAATTTCATAATTTGTTCCTAATTAGAAACCCTAGGTATCTTTAAAATGCTTATGAATGTAAATTTTCGATTTCATAATTTCATAATTTGTTCCTAATAAGAAACCCTAGGTATCTTTAAAATGCTTATGAATGTAAAATTAAAATTTCATAATTTCATAATTTGTTCCTAATAAGAAACCTTAGGTATCTCTAAAATGCTTATGAATGTAAAATTTCAATTTCATAATTTCATAATTTGTTCCTAACAAGAAACCTTAGGTATCTCTAAAATGCTTATGAATGTAAAATTTAAATTTCATAATTTCATAATTTGTTCCTAATAAGAAACCCTAGGTATCTCTAAAATGCTTATAAATGTAAAATTTAAATTTCATAATTTCATAATTTGTTCCTAATAAGAAACCCTAGGTATCTCTAAAATGCTTATGAATGTAAAATGTCAGTGCAAGCACAGAAATCCTAGTGTTCTCCCGAATCTTATTTTTGTTGTCAAAATCCTATCTTTAAATATAAAATGATAGTTTTAAAAACCGTGGATTTCTCATATTTCTTGATGTTCACATTCGCATTGTAAGCCTCATTACGACGACACTGAATCTGTCCTGTACTGACGGATGCCGTGAGATCTGTGTGTGTGCGTGTGTGTGCTAGGGCTGTCAACGAATATTCTAAATTCGAATATCTATTTGAATAGTTTTAAAAAACAGAAATTCGAAGGTGAAAATTAATATTCGAATCATGTGGAAAAACACGCCCGCGGTAGCAGAGATGCGGCTGCAGCTAAAACGCATTTTCCAGCTGCACAGATAGTACAGTGAGTGTCTGGCTCACTCATTGGCTGTGCTCCGGCAACTGCACATCCAATGGCACGGGCGCCTCCAACGTGTGCGCCAATGAGCTAGCATTACATCAGACACGTCAGAGCCCGCCAAGGGGGCGTGGCCAGACGCCCTCGAAATAGCCATAGTAGCAGGCTAGCAGCAGTGAGTTTACCACAGCACAGCTCGCTCGGAGCGTTCAATGTCGGTTCTATATACTGTAAAACTTCAATTAATGTTAATAATATTTGTTTCAATCACCGAATAAAGCCTGCTATATTTAGGACAAGAGTCGCGACCTTAAATTGCTTGCACAAAACTCTTGATCAGCACTCAACATTTGTTTATTGTTGTTCATTTAAACCGTTATGCGCAGAGAGCGTGAGGGCGAGAGAGAGAGAGAGAGAGTGCCTGCGAGTGCGAGCGAGAGTAAGGTCTGCGGTCTTGGCCATTAGTTGATTTACTTGGTTTTGTGTAAGTTAATACGTTGTCAAATATGTTTAAACTTAAATAAACTACCTATACAAGTAGTTGTGTCTCTTTGTATTAATTCTGAACATGCGTGTCCCGTCTGATGGGTGTTGCTGCTGATGATGTCATGCATGAATCATGAGGCCGAGAGAGATTGATTAGAGTTGCTGGAGTTGCTCATGTGGAGGCTTGCGTTGCGGACGGGTTCACATGGTGAGATGTCTTGTATCGTGCGTCTACAAGCCCGAGCTCGTGATGACGTAGTCCTTCAGTTTGGCATGGAAACATTCATATGTTTGCATTATCAGTGACTGTAATGATGACTACAGTTTCCCAGGCTATTATTCTCTATTCCTGTCTCTGTCCGAACACCAGTACGGCTCAACTCCACCGGCTAAACATTTCCATTTTGATCTTTTTTTTTAGTGAAGAAATGCATAAATGAAGAAGAAAGCCGAAATGTCGTGAAACATGAGTAATTCACTGTTAAAATTACAATTTTCACCTGAGATTTGGAGCCAAATTACAGGGCGGTAAAAATGACTTTAGAAAGATGGCAGCATCATTATTTTATTTCTGCACAGAGATTGGTTGGTCTATTAGTGAAATCTGTTGACTTTAGCAATCTTTGTTTCATTATATGCCAACGGTGACCGTTCAAAAATTGGAAAAAATTGTGTATTTAGCCTCAAGTTTGCATGCCTGTAACTCTAAAAACTATATCTCAAGAACCAGAGTCTAAAATCATATAGAGATATATTTAATACTTTTAGAGTTACAGCCATGCAAACTTTGGAAAAAACATATTTATGGCACTGATATGAAAAAAAAGATAATTTCTACTTTCAACATTTGATGTTCAGATGTTTCTCTTTAAAAGAAAAAAGCATCATCTGGATGTAAAGTGTCCCACATTTGGTTTCGACCTCTGAAAATGTGCACAATTGACCAATTTACTCATGAAGCCGCATTGAGATCTCCATATCTCTGGGATTGATCCATATATAAATATTAAAGATCTTTATTTCAAATAAATGCTGTTCTTTTCAACTTTTTTTTCATCCTAGAATCTTGAAAAAAAAAAAGCATTTCCTCAAAAATGCGTGTTTTTTCTGCTTAATAATATTTTTTTTCTGTTGAATTATAAAATGACCAATTTAATCATGGAGCTGCATTAAGATGTCCATATTTCTGGGATTGAAGTGAACCATATATATATATATATATATATATATATCAAAGGTCTTTATTTCAAATAAATGCTGTTCTTTTGAACTTTCTGTTCCTCCAAGAATCCTGAAGAAAAAAAATGCATTTCCACAAAAATTATTTCTTTTCTGCCTAATATATATTTTTGCTGTTGAATTATAAAATGACCAATTTAATCATGAAGCCGTATTGGGATCTCCATATCTCTGGGATTGATCCATATATAAATATCAAAGATCTATATTTCAAATAAATGCTGTTCTTTTCAACTTTTTTTCATCCTAGAATCTTTGAAAAAAAATGCATTTCCACAAAAAATGCGTTTTTTTCTGCTTAATATTTTTTTTCTCAAGAATCCTGAAGAAGAAAAAAATGCATTTCCACAAAAATAATTTCTTTTCTGCCTAATATATGTTTTTGCTGTTGACTGCTAATGCTGTGTTAAACTCCGCCTGTGTGTCTCCAGCAGAATGTCTCCGTTTGTCCTCCGGTTCGTCTGTGGGCGGCCTCGACCCGCGCCCCCCCGACCGCTGCTCCCGGTCCAGCACTGAGCCCTCAGAGGACGGGCGGCCCGTCAGCGCGGTGTCGTCCGGGTCCTCCGTCGAGGGGAGCGCTGGTCCGCCGTCCGGCATCGACCTGGAGCTCAGTCCCCCGGCGGGGCCGGCGGCGCCCGGGTTCGAGTGGTCGTGTTCAGATCCTCCGTCTCCGTTTGCCACCGTCAGCATGGCGCCGAACCCCCAGCTCTCCTACGTGGATCGAGTCGTAATGGAGATCATTGAGACGGAGCGGATGTACGTCAGGGATCTCCGCAGTATTGTAGAGGTGAGAGAAAACCGCTGTCCAATGAGAAGCCGTGTGGTTACAGTACATCTAACTCCTCAAGGTCTGCCAGTACAGGGAAGATTGTGTTTGTTCAGGTGATGTGTCTGTCAGTGTGTGTCTGTCAGTGTGTGTCTGTCAGTCAGTGTCTGTCAGTCAGTGTGTCAGTCAGTGTGTCAGTCAGTGTGTGTGTGTCTGTCAGTCAGTGTGTCAGTCAGTCAGTGTGTGTCAGTCAGTGTCTGTCAGTCAGTGTGTCAGTCAGTGTGTCAGTCAGTGTGTGTCTGTCAGTCAGTCAGTGTGTGTGTGTGTCAGTCAGTGTGTGTGTGTGTGTGTGTGTGTGTGTGCGTCAGTGTGTGTGCGTGTCAGAGTGAGTGTGTGTGTGTGTCAGAGTGAGTGTGTCAGAGTGTGTGTGTGTGTGTCTCGTCCAGTGAAAAACCAGTGAAATATTAAGTTCTGCTCATATTTTATTATTACCATTTTCTAAACGATAGTGAATAAACTGATAATGTGAGAAATGTTGGAGCTGTCTGAGTAAGTGTTGGTTTGAGTGTAAGAGAGCCGTCGAGGTTTGGGACTTCATGGCACTGATCGGTGTTTTTCTAGTTGGATCCCAGCCGTCGTTTCCCACAATGCATCAGGATGTCTCGTTGCTGAACACGGGAATTCTTCGGGTTTGTAGGTTTTTACAGGTGTCACTCCTCATGCA